GGAGAAATTCATGAATGACAGGCCCACACTGGAGCATTCAGGGAATCTAGGATTTTAGAGGATATAATAAGTGAAACTGGCATTGAGAACGGCAGATATGCTCCTTCCCAGCCCATCCTGGTATGATTCAAAGGGCCAGTGAATCTGTCCTCTGGACCTGGAGCCAAAAGCTTGGTTTGAATCCTGGCTCTACTTTGTAACCCTTTGGCCTGTCAAAATCTCAAAGTCCTCACTGTGAAGTAAGGTTAATCACACTACAGAGCAGCTGTGGGGAAAGTAATTATAAACCTTAAAGTGTTATGTAAATGTGAATTTTTCTTAGTTTAACCAGCCCTTCAGGGTTGAGCCTGAGTTTTGTCTACACTTTATATCTGCTGTACTTTCTAATGCTATGATCACATCGCAGGCTGTGACAGATTCTAGCTTTAATGGCCAAAGGGACTGGTAAGACTTACTTGAACTGATGAAAAGTGAAGTGAGCAGAACCAGGAGAACATTGTACACGGTAATAGAAACATTGTGCGAGGATCAACTTTAGACTTAGCTCTTCTCAGCAATATAATGATCTAAGACAATTCCTAAAGACTCATGATGGAAAATGCTATCCACATCCAGAGAAAGAGTTGTTGAAGAGTCTGAATGCAGATTGAAGCATACTATTTTCTCTCTCTTTTCTTTTTTTGTTTTTTCTCTCTCGTGGTTTTTCCCTTCTGATTCTTCTTTCAAAACATGACTAATGTGGAAATATGTTTAATATGATATTACATGTATAGCCCAAATTTTTTTTTAAAAGACCTTAGAGATCATTAGTCCAGAGATGCCAAATATATGGCACCACCCAGCCACAGCACTCCCCAGGAAGCAACCAGATTAAATGTAATTGGGAAATTTTGTCGAGTAGTTTTTCAGTCATGTCTGACTCTTCATGACCCCATTTGGAGTTTTCTTGACAAAGATACTGGAGTGGTTTGCTATTTCCTTCTCCAGCTCATTTTGCAGATGAGGAAACTGAGGCAAACAAGGTTAAGTGACCTGCCCAGGGTCATACAGCTAGGAGGTGTCTGAGGCCAGATTTGAACTCATGAAGATGAGTCTTCCTGACTCCAGACCCAGTGCTCTATCCACTGTACCACCTAGCTGCCCAAATTGGGAAATAGTTAACAAAATAAATAAAAACACAACAGAACATAGATAATGTTAATAATATGCCACCCACAGGCATTCTTATATATGGTTTAGTGCCCCCAGTTTCTGAGTTTGACCCCATTGTCGAACCCCTAATTTTACAATTGGTAAACTAGCCGAGGGAAGAAGTTATAAAACTAAACCTAAATCATGCAGGTGTAGTAAGCAGCAAAGTCAGGATTTGAACATAGGTCTTCTGATATCAAGTCCAGCATACTTTCAACTACATCATGCCGCCTCAACTAATACATGTTTGTGGAACTGCTTATGTCTTAATGGACTCTGAATGCACATCAAAACATACTATTTCCACTTTATTTTTTTCATTTTTTTTTAAATTTTAGTCTGTTTCTTCTTTCATAATACAACTAATATTGAAATATGTTTTACATGATTGTACATATATAATCTATATCAAATTGCTTACTGTCTTAGGGAGGGGAGAGGGGAAGGAGGGAGGGAGAAAACTTGAAACTCAAAAATTTCTTTTTTTTGTATTTTTGTTTGCTTGTTTTTGCTTTTTTGGTAAGGCAATCAGGGTTAAGTGACTTGCCCAGAGTCACACAGCTAGTAAGTGTCAAGTATTTTTAAAAAAATTTTTTAATTAATGTTAGAAAAAAAAGAAAAAGATTAAATAAAAGGGACAGCTGTGTGGGGCAGTGGATAGAGCAGCAGCCCTGAGTCAGGAGACCTGAGTTCAAATCTGGCCTCAGACACATAGCACTCTAGCTATGTGACCCTGGGCAAGTCACTTAACCCCATTGCCTAGCCAAAAAAAAAAAAACGTAAAAAAATTTTTGATAGTGAAAACCTTGCTCCATTGAAAAAGAAAGAAAAACAGAATCCAGTAACAAAACAAATTCCCAGACTGGCTGTATCCAAAACCTAAACACACACCAGAACACCCCCCCCACATTCTGCACTCTTGGGCCCACCAGTTCTCCATCAGGAGGTGGGCAGCATGTTTCATCATGAGTCCTCTGCAGTCATGGTTAGTCATTGCCCCAGTCAAAGTTCCTAAGTCTTTCAAAGTTGTCTTTGCAACTTTGTCTTTACAAGAACAGTAATATTGTTGTTATTGTATAATTTGTTCTCCTGGTTCTGCTCACTTTACTCAGCATCAGTTTATACAAGTCTTCCCAATTTTCTCTGAAATCATCCCCTTCACCATTTCTCATAGCACCACATTCTATTCTATTCATATACCATCTGCCTGATTTTCACTGCATCCTAACCCTCTGGTTCCTGCCCCACTAATGAAAGGCAGAGTCAGCTTCACCTGGAAACCCAGCCACTAGGGACTGAGTCCCAGGGGTCCAGACACCCTGTCTGCAGCCAGTGGCAAGCAGACCCTGGTAGTGTTGGGTATTGCTTCTCAACCTCTTGTAATCAGACTTAGCACCTCATAATTCAGCTGCTGCTGCTCTATCTAAGGTTACCAGTGGCACACAGCAGGGGCTTAATAAATGCTTGTTGAATTAAATCAAAAGGGATTGAGTTAGGCCAGTCTTCTTAATTCATTTCAACAAGCATGTATTATGTGCCTGCTGGATAAAAAAGACACTTTAAGTGGTAAGGATATAAAACAGGAAACAGTCCCTGCCTACTTTAGTTTGAGGAGTGAAGGGGAGATTTGCAGCATTTACACAGATAAGCAAATTCAGCACTAGACTTGGGGGATCAGGAAGGGCTTCCTGTAGGAGGTGTTGAGTGTCCTCAGCTTTGAAGCTAAGGATTCTAAGGGGCAGATGAGTAAAGGCATGCTTTGCAAGCATTGACTGTTCTCATCACATTGTTAATCCTGCCATTGTATTAATGTGATTAATTTGACAATATTAATACTTTTCTGGCACGATTTTCTTCAAGATGGTCACTAAAGTCTCAACAAAGCAGCACTGACATTCCCATGAATTCTGGCAAGGTTTTAATATGGTAGTTTATAGGGGATTAGGTTTTATAGTGGCCATGGATTTGTTAGACCGTCTGGTATGGTCTGTGAGAGAACCACTGACCTGGGGAGCTAAGGAAGCCTGATACAAGTCCTTTATTTATTCCTTCAATCCCATCTTAGCTAGTTAATGTCTGTGTGACCTGAGCAAGTCACATAACTTGCCACAGCCTTAGTCTCTTAATCTCTTTATCTGTGAAACGGGGTTATAATAATTATTGCAAAGATCAAGTGGGATAATGTATGTAAAGTGTTTTACAGACCTTAAAGCACTATATGAATTTGGATGATTACTATATTATTATTATTCACTCATTCGCCATAAACGTGTAAAGAATGAATGAATAATTTGGGAGACCTTTTTAGTCCCAGCCCAGACTCAGTAGATGTCTCTTTACCTTCTGGGACAGGGGCGAGGGACCTGCAGCCTTGAGGCCACATGTGTAGGACCACACTTGAGGACCTAGAGGGCCACATGTGGCCTCAAGGCTGCAGGTTCCCCAACCTTGTTCTAGGGACTCAATTTCCTTCTTTATAAAGTGACTGTGATCTGTTCCTCACCTTCCTCACAGTAGTGTTAACACTTCAAAGGATCCTTGGGTTTGTAAGCCTGAGTGTCCCCTCACCCCTCAACCCCTCTGTGCCTTAGTAGACGTAAGTTGTTGCTAAAAAAAATAAAAACCACCCCACTGGCGACGGTCTTGTGATGCCCTAGTGACTGGCAACTCCCGACTTTGCCAGGCTAGTCTTTGGACAGCGGGCACGTGACCTACCACTGGGCTCTCATTTTGAGCCTTTCCAGCTTGACGGAAAATTCAGAGTATGTGCTCAGCTGACACGGTCTGCCAGCTGACAAGTAAATGAACGAATAAGGACACAGGGTCAGCTCCACATCATAAAGAGATGTTAGGATAGGAGGACTGAGGAGCTCTCACAATCTATGATTTTATGGAAGTGAAATGAGAGGCAGTGTCGTGGCAAGAGAGTCAACCTTGGAGTCATGGAGCAGCTAGAGCATAGTGGATAGACAGCTGGACCTGGAGTGAGGAAGGACCTGAGTTCAAATCCTGCCTCATACACTTTCTAGCTAGTTGATCCTGAACAAGTCCCTTAATCTCTGTTTGCTTCAGTTTCCTCCACTATAAAATGGAGACAATAAGGGCACCTATCTCCCAGGGTTGTTGTGAGGACCAAATGAGATATCTGTAAAGTGCTTAGCACGGTGCATTGCACATAGTAGGTGCTATATAAATGCTATCATTATTATTATTATTAACAGAATGAATTCTCACTGTTACCAACAAGTGGTCATCCCGCCTTTGCTTGAAGACCTTCAAGGAGAGGAACCCACCACCTCCCAAGGCATTCCCCTTTGGGACGGCTTTAATTGTTAGGAAATCTTTTTTCATGACATCAAGACTAAACTTTCCTCCTTCCAACTGTCCTGGTTCTTCTCTCTGGGACCACATAGATCAACACCAATCCCTCCCATTTTTTCCCTTTCCCTTCTGCCTTCCCAGCCTCACGCCTTTTCCAAGTCTCCTTAAGCCTCCCCATTACCTCCTTCCCCTTTCCTTGTCTCTTTGTTGCTCAATCATTTCAGTCTTATCTGACTCTCTGGGACCTTGTTTGGGGTTTTCAGTCTTGTCTGACTCTCTGGGACCTTGTTTGGGGTTTTCAGTCTTGTCTGACTCTCTGGAACTTTGGGATTTTCTTGGCAGAAATACTGGAGTGGTTTGCCATTTCCTTCTCCAGCTCATTTTACAGATAAGGAAACTGAGGCAAACTGGGTTAGGTGACTTGCCCAGGGTCCCCCAGCTAGTGAGTGTCTGCTTTCCCCGTTTGATTTCCTTTCTCTTTCTTGCAGTAACTGCTTACACGTGGTGGAGCCAATGCCCGTGCCCGGCCACGATGTGGAGGCTTACTGCCTGCTGTGTGAGTGTAAATACGAGGAAAGAAGCACCACCACCATCAAGGTACCACCCCCAATACCTGCCTCCCCTCCAGGCTCATTTCTTCTCCCATCCCACCCTCCCCCCCATCCTCCAGCTCTCCACCAATCCAGGTCCTGCTGGCTGACCCCCTCCCCCACAGGGTGCTCCCAGCCTTCCCCAGCCTTCCTAGCTGTCCTCTTCACTCTGGCTTCTTTCCAGGGGCCTTAGGAGGAATGGTTAGGGTCCTATCCTTTGCTCTGTCCAGCTCCAGTCAATCGATCAGCAAACATTTACTTTTTTCTTTCAAATTCCCAATCATCTCCCTCTGGCCAGTCCTTCTTCCACCCATGAAGAAGGCAAGTGATAGAATCGATACCTATTACGTATGTGAAGTCATGCAGAACATGGAAATATTTGCCGTATGATCAGCAAGCATTTATTAAGCACTTACTATGTTCCAGGCACAGTTCTAACCACTGGCAAGGCCAAGGTCAAAGTGAAATCATCCCAGCTATCAAGAAGCTTATAAAAACTTAACAGGTAGGGCAGCTAGGTGGTAAAGTAGATAGAGCTCTGGCCTTGGAGTCAGGAGGACCTGAGTTCAAATCCAGCCTCAGACACATGACACTTACTAGCTGTGTCTCACCAAAAAAACCCGTAACGGGGAGAACATCTTCTAGCCTGTCATTTCCCTTCTAAAAGGGACCTCATTGATCAGGATGAAACCTGGGAGCTGGGGTATCTGGGACTGATGTTCCTGCAAACTCCCTTCCCTTCTCAGTCTCCTTTTATTCTCACACTTCCCCAAATCTCCGTCCCCAAAGTTGGTGGGGGGGTTGAATGAATGAATTACAAAGTTGTTGTTGTTCACTTGTTCTTGTCATGTTCGACTCTTCATGACCCCATTTGGGGTTTTCTTGACAAAGATAATGGAGTGGTTTGCCATTTTCTTCTCCAGCTCATTTTTCAGATGAGGAACTGAAGCAAACAAGATTAAATGACTTGCCCAGGGTCACATAGTTAGTAATTGTCTGGGTCAGATTTGAACTCAGTTCTTTTGGACTCCAGGCCCAGAACACTATCCACTGTGCCTTTTAGCTGTCCATGAATTAAGGAGACAGGTAATATAGATCACTTCATAGAACAGAATCTCTAGGCTGAGAGGCCTCTCTGATGATCCTCTTGTCCTATTAATCTTCAGGCAAGATTGAATCTAATCTAACCACAAGAAATAATATTTTTAAAAACATTTGGACCAAATCTGTGATTTCATTGGCATGTCAATGTTAAATCCGTGCCTATTCTTCAGAGTGGAGTCTTGGGTTGCTGCTTGAGACTTGCTCCAGCAACTTGCCCTGGGGCACACAGCCAGTGGATGTCAGGAGTGAGACTCGAATCCGGGTCTTCCTAGCTCTGAGGCGTACTTTCTCTCCAAGCTACCTCTCCTCTTTTCATATAAAAGACCTCCAGGCAAAGAGATAATCTGTCTCAGCCAGTTAAGTTCTCGTTGCAGTCTGACATAAACCCTTCCTGCTGCCATTCCCAAGGAGGACCCTTGAAGGAAGGACCAGCCAGGATCTTTGGGCAGGATTTGCAGAGGGGTAGAATTCAGCCCAATTTAAACAGAAACTTAACCAACAATTAGAACTGTCCGAAAGTAGAATGCCCTACCCAAAGAAGTAATGAGTTCCCTGTCTGTAAAGATCTTCAGTAAAGTAGAGGACCATCTTTGGGGTATGTTGTTAGCAGGATCCTTGTTCAGGGGCGGGTTGGATTACATAATGTCTGTAGAAGGTCTTTTCAACTGGAATTCTATGATTCTATACAGGGAGGAGCAGCAGTCTCCTGAATTTCTAAATAATTAGGTGTCTATTCACTTCTTTCAGGCTAAATAATGGGACCTTCACTCTGGTTGTCTTTATCCTGACCTCTCAGAGAGCACTTCCTTTCCTGTGTTAACTTCTTGTGTTCACACCTTTAAAAAAAATTGACAGAAGATGTCTATTCTTTAGCCCCCGACACACACACACACACACACACACACACACACACACACACACACACCCCTTTTAGTCATCGCCCTGTCAACTTGCACAGACTTAATTCCTTTCATCTTCCCTCCTGAGTCAGCCCCTCCCTTAAGCAGGTTCCTTCTCCTCTCTGAACTCTGTCCAGTGGGGCCCCACCCTCTGGGGACCAGATGCCTGAGCCCATACCCTCTGTACCAGATGTCACCTCATGCTGTTTGAGGGAGAAGGGACTTCCCAGCCCCAAGACCTCATCAGACACATCCTCCTAATCCAATGGATTTCCCTGTGGTGATTTGCCCTAGGTGACCTTTCCCTCCCCAAGCCTGTTGTAGACTTGACCTCCTTCTTTCTTGCCCCACACTTAGGATGGGGTTGAGAGGCAAGGATGATAGGATCGTGACTTAGAGCTAGGAGAAACCATAGTGATCATCTAGTCCAACCCTATCATTTTGTAGGTGAGACCCAGAGAGACCAAGCAATTTGCCCAGTGTTACACTGGTAACAAGTGCCCAACCTGGGAAATCAGGAAAACTTCCCCTTGTATAAGGAACAGGGATATCTAGGCCCCAAGAATGGAAGAATCCAAATCCTAAATGCCTTTGACCAGGAGGAGAGCTAGGGATGCCACCCAGGAGTCCTAAGCTGTCTCTGTGAGAGGGTCTTTGCTTCTTCTCCAGTTAACCAGGGCTAGGGCCAGCAGTAGTAACTATTAACTTTTAGCTCACTCCCATAAGATTAGAGTTAGGCTCCCTTTGGGTCTTACTCCTCCGCTGAGTCAATCCCCCCTCTCCACAGAAGGCTGCTGTGAACAGTTATCTTGGCTCCTACAGCCACAGCTACTTCTGAGGGCAGAATCCCAGAGATGCGGGTTTCGCCAAACATCGATTTGCTTGTACATTTACAATGGATGTTTATGTCCCAGATCTGAGACGGTTAAGTGATTCAGTGGAATGAAGAGGGCGTTGGAATCAGGAAGCCCTGAGGTCAAACCTGCTAGCTGACCCTAAGGAAGTCATTTAATTTCTCTTAATCACAGTTTCCTTATCTATAAAATGAGGATAATAATAGCACCCACTTCCCAGGGCTGTTGGGAGAATCAAACGATTTAACATATGTAAAAGCATATGTTAAAAATACTACCTAAATACCAGTTATCATTATTATTATTATTATTATTATTATTATTATTATTATTATTATTAGATTAGATTAGATTAAACCTCAATTTCTGCTTCTAGGCCTTCCCCCTCTCCCCTAATCTGGTCTAATTGCTTAGTACATCCCACCTCTGGACTCTCTACTCTAACTAGAAAAACCTTTGGACACCCCACATACAGCTCCTCTGCTTTAATGGCATGGAATAGTCCTCTCTCCCACGGGAATGCTGTCCCATAAATTTTGTTAAAGCCTGAGTCTAAACTTTGCTGTTAACTCACCTCTGGGATCTGGTGTCTAGGTAGTACAATGGCTAGAGCTCTGTGCCTGGAGTCAGGACGCCCTGTGTTCAAATCTAGCCTCAGACATTTACTAGCTAGTTGACCTTTTGTCTGCCTTATTGCCTCAATTGTAAAAAGGAGATAATGACAGCATCTACCTCACAGGGTTGTCGTAAGGACTGAATGAGGTAATATTTGTAAAGTACCTGGCACACAGTAAGTGTTTAATAAATGAATGTTCGATCCTTCTCCCTCTGGGAAATCTTCAGTGGCTGCTGTTTCTTCCACACTCCCTCAGAACATGGTTTACACAGGAATTCGCCCTAATTTGTGTTTTCAGGTCTTTGTGATCGTCTGTCTGGTTTGGGGGTCTGGGGAATGGGGGACGATCTCCTTCATTAGATCGGAAGTTCCTTGAGGGCAGGACTTGGCCAGTGTCAGCTCCCTCTTCCCTCGCTGAGCTGTGCCCATTCTTCTCAGGTCATCATCGTCATCTATCTGTCTGTGGTGGGCGCCCTGCTCCTGTACATGGCCTTCCTTATGCTGGTAGATCCCTTGATCAGAAAGCCAGATGCCTACACTCAACCATTGCACAATGAGGAGGACAATGAGGTAACAACGTGGGGAGAGGGGGTTGGTGGGACTCCAACAGGTTTTTTCCACTTTGATGTCCCGAGAGACTTCCTTGAATTCATGCTAATGTCTTACACCAGGGCACCTGGGTGCATAGGTCTAAATCTACTTAGTTTAAGAGATTCCCTGGCTTTGTCCTCAACCAGGCAAGAAAGGAGGTGGATTGACCAAAATACTGTAACATATTGATAAAAATAGAACCTAGGAGTCCAGTTTACTAGGAATTTGGGGGAAGAGGAATTGAGGAGGTGACAGATTCATTCATTCACTTAATAAACATATATTTAATTCATTTAAAAACATGTAATAAACATATATATTTCATTTAATAAACATATATAAAGCATCTTTGCTGGACACTGTGGTAGGTAGATGCTATGAGGAATACAGAGACATAGAAGACATAGGTCTGGCCCTTGAGGAGCTTGCGGTGGAAGACCTGGGTTCAAATGCCGCTTCTGTGTGCATATCACTTAGGCTCTGGGACCTCAGTTTCCTCATATGTAAACTGAGGTGACCACTATTCCAAAGGACCAATGATGAAACATGCTACCCACATCCTGATAAGAAAGGTAAGGGACTCGGTGCAGAATGAGACCTATTTTTGGACCTGGCCACTTTGGGAATTTGCTTTGTTTAACTATGCATATTTGTTACAGGAGTTTGTTTGTCATCTTCACTTGGGATGGGGGGAAGTAGGAGGGAGAGGAAATAGATTTTTGTCTACTAAAAAAAAGTTTAATAAAATAAAATGAGGTAAGGGGCAGCTAGGTGGCACAGCGAATAGAGAACCAGCCCTGGAGTCAGGAGGACCTGAGTTCAAATCTGGCCTCAGACATTTGACACTCACTAGCTATGTGACCCTGGGCAAGTCACTTAACCCCGATTGCCTCACCCAAAAAAATAAATAAAGTGAGGGGGTCAGAGTGGATGAGTGGCAAGGTCCCTTTCAGTCCTAGCTCTGTGGCTTCTCTTCGGTACTAATAGGTCACATTTATACAGTCCTTCCCAGTTTATAAAGCACTGCTATAATAATAGCACACATTTCTATAACATTTTAAGGTTTACAAAGTACTTCCCTCAAAGGGGAGGTAATGAAAGTATTATTCCCCACTTTGCTGATGGAGAAAATGAAACTCAGAGAAATTAAGTGACCTCACCTAAGGTTAGTCATTGTCAGGGCCTGAGACAGGATTTGAACCCAGGTCTACTGGTTCTGAGTCTGGCACTAGTAAGGAGGGATGAGTCAAGTGCATATGTGGCCATGGTGCAGAGATACACAGCAGGTCTCCAATAAGTGGTTCCTACTCAGTCCTGCAGGAGGACGAGGGGGAGGAGGAGTCATTTCTGGCTGGCGTAATAAGGGAAGGCCCCACAGAACATCAAACGAGATTGCTGTCGTTCACTTGTTTCAGTCACGGGCAACTCCTCATGACCCCATTTGGAGTTTTCTTGGCAAAGATGCTGGGGTGGTTTGCCATTTCCTTCTCCAGCTCACTTTAGAGATGAGGAAACTGAGGCAGACAGGGTGAAGTGACTTGCCCAGGGTCACACAGCTAGTGTCTGAGGCCGGATTTGAACTCCGGAAGATGGGTCTTTCTGACTCCAGGCCAGGAACTTTATGCACTATGGCGCCGCCTAGCTGCCCTATTGAACTGATAAAACTAATCTCTGACCCGGTCCAGCTTCCCACCCTCTGTCAAAATCTCTCTCTCCAGTTTTGGTATTTAGCCTGTTGCTTGATCATCGCCGGGGATGGAAACTTGCTACTTCATCAGGCAGCCTGTCCCGTGTTAAGGAAGCTCCGATCATTAGGACGTGGTTGTCTGTCTCCCTGTAACTTCTGTTCACTAGTGTTAGTTCTATCTTCTGGAGCAAGGGACAAATCAGTTACTTCTATACAACAGACTTGTGTCCGTTTGAAGGCAGATATCACTGAAGTGCTAGATTTGGAGTGAGAGGACCTGCGTGTAAATTCGAGCTCTGACAACCTGGGTGACCTTGGGCGGGTCACCTGCATGGCCTCTGGGCCTCCAGTTCCTCCTCTCTAAAATGAAGGAGCGTTACTAGGTTATCTCAAGAGTCTCTTCCCACTCTAAATCTTTGATCCTATGATCATTGCCCTAAAAGTCAGAGAGGCACCTCTTCCTAGGGGCGAGAGGGGGGCTGCCCTTGGCACGGAGTCTGACACCCTCCCTCTGGCTTTGTATCCATGGTGGCTAGAGACATAACAAAGGCCATGCCTAAGAGCCATGCATTCCAGGGAAATAGCAGCATCAGGCTATATAATCACCATGCAGCATCTCTCAATTACACCCCCAGCCAGGACTGCAATTACCACATTACCCCTAATCACCATGTGTTTATTAGCTAGGCCCCTCCCCTATCAGGGCTGCTATTACTGCACATTAATAACCAGGTAGGGAGCTGAAGTTTCCTCCCTTGAACATCAGACCACCCAACTGTCAGCACCACCCCCTTCCCAAAACATAGGACACCCCCCCCCAATAGAGAAATGTTCATCCTCTCTGCTCCACCCTCAGTCAAAATCAGATCAACAGGAAGCTAGGGGCAGGAGGGAGGAGAAGGCAGAGCTGAGGAAGTCTAGTTCCACTAGAGATGGATGGCCCAGGAATACTTTGGCCACACCCTTCACTAAAGATCAGTCTAATTTCAGCCCTGTCCCTTGAAGTCTATTCCCTCTTCACCCATGAGTACATTTGGGTCGATTTCCCTTGGGGGGGGGGGGATGAGAGCTTGTTTTTAAAAAACAGTTTGTTAGTTTCAATTAAATCTAATTGGTTTCATTTGCAATCCTGTACATTGCATTGTAAATCCTGTGAATTGTACTTAAAACATTATTTTGAGAAGAGATCCACTGACTTCACCAGACACACACAAAAAAAATCATGAACCATGATTTAGATCAGTGATGTCAAACTTAAATAGAAATGGAGACCGATAATTGGTACATAAGGATCTCTGCAGGCCCATGTTGACTTAGTTTTAAAATGTAATATTATCCATGTTTTATTCGATTTTTATTTACTTTGCTAAATATTTCCCAATTACATGTTAATCTGGATGCTGTTTGGGCTGAGTTCAGGAGGGTTGAGGGCTGCTTGTTTGACCCTCTGACTTAGGTCATGGTCAATCAAATGAGATAATAATTGTGAAGTGCTTAGCACAGTGCCTGACATGTAGTAAACACTACATAAATGTTATTGTTATTGTTATAATTATTGTTATATGAAACCACTGGATCCTCAGACTGGCAGGACCCCTCTAGAAGTCAGAAGGCCTGGGTTCAAATCTAGCTTTGCTACTTCTCTGGGTCTCAGTTTCCTCATTTGCAATGTCATAGGAAGGGTAGTGAGGTCACAGGGAATATGCCGGTTTGGCTGAATGGAGAGTACAGAGATGGGTCTAATGGAAAGATAGGTTGGGGTCAGGTTATCAAGGACTTTGAAAGCAAAGCAGATCTCCTTTGTAGAGGTGTGTTATGAGCCCTGTTGGCAGTCTGGGGTAGCCAGTCTATAGGCGTCTTCTCAGAATAATGTTTTTAAATTATTGAAGTAAAGGCTAACTTTTAATTAGATGAAAGTGCAAATGAAGATGCAATTTTTCACACCCAAATTCAACTTTCTTATCTTAAAGATGAGAAAATGGAAGCCAAGAAACATTAAATGAATTGCTTAAGGTCATGTAGATATTAAGTACCAAGAGCTAGAATTTAAAATCAGATTCCTTGTTTCCAATCAAGTGCATTTTCCACTGCGCCATGACCTCTGATGTTCTATAGTTCTATTTTATAACTTTGTTCAGATGTTAGGGAGTCTTTGGTCCAGACTCAGACCTGCCTCCTTGGTGACTCTTCTGCCAGAAATATTTGCCTTTTCCCATGTAGTATGAAATAAAACACCAGCAGGCCAGAAGTGAGTGTACTTGGAGTGGGTGCCGATGTATCCTAAGGGCCTTAAAACTGCTAACATCCTCTGGCCTGGCTTGGGAATCTGGTCCAGTGGCATCCCCTCTCTGACACCCCCTGGGTTTCCGTGCGGTCCCCCTACCTGATAATTCCTAAATAGCTGTTTTTCTTTCATTGTGTTCTATCCGGTCCCCTTCATCTGTCCCTGTGAATTCTTATCCTTCAAGCAAGAAACTCTTACAAAGTCAAACTTTGCTACACATGGCATCATGTTGGACACTGTGCTAAGAGTTACACAAGCACAATCCCTGCCCTCTAGGGCCTTGCCATCAAAGACACACACTTCCACAGGCAAACATATAGAGAAAAATATGCAATAAATAGAAAAAAAAATAATTTTTACACTCTGCTTAAGCCAAAGGTTTATGTGCATCAGTGGACCTGAAGTGATAGAGAGCCATGGGAATTTCATGTTTACAGAACGTTGAGGTGGGAGATGTTATCTTCTGTCTTTGAATTTCTAGAAGAGGTAGGATGTCATGAGCTGCTCAAAGGATAGAAGGAAAAGTGATTTCTATGTTGGTGTTCAAAGATCGAGCTATCACAAGATTTAGAGACAGAGGGCCCTTGGGAGATCATCTTCAGCGGTTCCTAACTTTTTCTGTCATGCATCTGCTTGGTGGACTGGCGATGCCTACAGACTCCTCAGAGTAATGTTTTTAAATGCATAAAATAAAATACATAGGAATGCAAAGGAAAATATATTGAAAAAAAATTTGAAATACAATTAGCAATTTTTTTTTAGAAAACAAGTTCACTGACCTCAAATTAAGACCCCCTAAATCCAACCCCCTCATTTTACAGGTGAAGAACCTGAGGCCCAGAGAGATTAAGTGATTTACCCAAAATCATATAAATAAAGACGTATCAGAGCTAGGAGTCAAACCCAATATCTAAACCTGGAGCCTTACTTTTACAGCTGAGTTAGTAAGGATGCTGGTGACCTGGCATGTAGTCATGCCAATGTATCAATGCAGAGCTGGTGTAGGGA